TTCCCAGGCTTCCCCGTCCACAGACCCTCATTGGCCTGGGGGTGGGGGGAGCACATGAAGTCTTTGTCCCCCACCCAGCACCTAGAGCAGGCCTGGGCAAAATATGGCCTGCAGGCTGCATCCGGCCCACCAAGATCCAGCCCGTAGAGGCAGCGGGGAGCCCCAGGCAGGCTCTCCTGCTTGCCCTGTAGTTCCACATGCCGCGCAGAAATGCACCTGCAGGGCTCCATTTAATTTGAAACTGGAGGGAAGGAAGGAAGTTTCAGGAGTCCCTCAGCCCCACAGCACGATCCCATTAGCCAGAAAACAGCCAATGGGAGCTGCTTGTTAGAACAATCTGATGAGGTTCAACAAGGACAAGTGCAGAGTCCTGCACTTGGGACGGAAGAATCCCAAGCATTGTTACAGGCTGGGGACCAACCAGCTAAGTAGAAGTTCTGCAGAAAAGGACCTGGGGATTACAGGGGATGAGCAGTTGGATATAAGTCAACAGTGTGCCTTTGTAGCCAAGAAGACTAATGGCATATTAGGTTGCATTAAGAAGAGTATGGCCAGCGGATCCAGAGATGTCATTATTCCCCTTTATTCGGCTCTGGTGAGGCCACATCTGGAGTATTGTGTCCAGTTCTGGGCCCCCCAGTACAAAAAAGATCTGGACGCATTGGAGAGGGTCCAGCGGAGGGCAGCCAAAATGATTAGGGGGCTGGAGCATATTACTTATGAGAAGAGGCTGAGGGAATTGGGACTGTTTAGTCTGAAGAAGCGAAGAATGAGGGGGGATTTGATAGCAGCCTTCAACTTCCTGAAGGGAGGTTCCAAAGAGGATGGAGAAAGGCTGTTCTCAGTAGTGACAGATGGCAGAACAAGGAGCAATGGTCTCAAGTTGTTGTGGGAGAGGTCCAGGTTGGATAGTAGGAAAAACTATTTCACTAGGAGGGTGGTGAAGCACTGGAATGGGTTACCTAGGGAAGTAGTGGAGTCTCCATCCCTAGAGATGTTTAAGTCTCGGCTTGACAAAGCCCTGGCCGGGTTGATTTAGTTGACATTGGTCCTGCCTAGAGCAGGGGGCTGGACTTGAAGACCTTCTGAGGTCTCTTCCAGCTCTATGATTCTATGATCTACCTATGAGACTTCTGGCCAGCAGCCCAGCACATTTCTCAGGTAAGAGCGTGCCCCGCCCCCACACAGGCTACAGAGTCATGTGCTCTGTGAATAAGAGCCTGAGAAGAAGGGATAGTGGTTTTACGCATGCTGCCTGTTTTTCAAACAGACAGCTTCCATTGGCCAGAAATTAGCCAATGGAATTATGCTGGGGGGTGGGAGCAACTAAGAACCACTTCTCTCCAGGGTCACAGTTTGTGACACACAAATGGCCCAGCAGATGCTTTTCTGAGTGGATGGAACAAGCAGGGGACTCTGCCTAAAACTCCCTGCTGTGTCCACGTGCCAAATCCGATGGTGTGGTGGGCCAGATCCGGCCCACTGAGAGTGTTTTTCCCAGACCTGCTATAAACCACAGTACAAAATCTTGCATTTGCACAAAAAGTAGTTACAGATACTATGGGCACAGTAACTTTCAGCTTTCTTACTTCTGCATTAACTGACTGTTGCACTGAATAAATAATTTTTACATTCTTTTTGTTTATGAAGTTATGCTTACCAGCCAAGGAATTCCCATTCTGTAATCCATTCTTTTTCTGTTTCTGCTAAAAACAAATTTAAAAAAAGCAATAAAGGAGAGAAGAAAATATTTATGATGGTGTGGGAGTTAGGTGGTCAGTGTACAGAAGGAAGTCCATATTACATTACATAAGTTTTTAAACTATTTACAAAGCTTTTGTCCTGTTCATCACACTTTCCTGTATTACCTCCTAAAAATTGCTACCATAAAACAACAGCCTGAGTAATAGATTATTCTTTCATTCAGAAGTGACAATAGACATTTCTTAAGTAGGATTCAGTCCAACTACTGATTAAACTACTCTGGTATAAGCAGCCCAGCTACTGATTAAATTACCTCTAGTATAAGCTGTACATAAATACTGTAATAAATACATAAATAAATATGTAATACTGAACTGCAAAAGTATGCTTGCATTCACATATTTAGAATATTTACTTACACCTCTGCATTGTCCTATGTTATCCTAATATAAATTATACTGTACCTTCAACCAGTAGAGAAAGCCTGTATGTTCAAATATGTATATGTGAGAAATATTTAAATAGGGCCAAACCCAGCCTCTGGTTTGAATGCATATTATTGAATCACACATATATAAAGGCACATGTGACATAGTCTATCACTTGTGCATACAAATGATGGGTTTTGCATGTGTAAATGCTATCAACTCTAAGTGCCAGTAACTAGTGACAATGCTCAAAGTATGGATATAGATATCCAGGCATGCAGAGGCTACTTTCTGAAAATCTGGAAACAATATATAAATATATGTATACATACAGAGCCCCACCAGGGCTACTCAACATGCGACCCGCAGCCTGTAGCCCATTTATTTGCAGCCTGCAATGTGTTTTGGGTTTACACAGGGTTCAACACATGGCCCGTAGTTGGGATCCTTTCAATATGGCCTCCACTGGGAACATGTTCCACATGAGGTCTCTCCCAGGCAGCGTGAGCATTGAAAGATGCAAGCAGACAAGCTGGCTGGAACAGATGGGTACAGGGTGATGGCATTTCTAGCCCCCAGGGATGATATGCCAGCAGCGTTGGGGCATTGTGGGAAGTACTTAGTATTCATGCCCGTCAGTGTAAAATAAGCATTTATATATATTTGCATATATATCTGCATGTATATACAACCACACTTAAGCTGTGGCTCTCAGCATATGCTGTGAGTATCATTGTGGCCCTCGGAGCTTTCAAATTTGAGTAGCCCTGCTATAATCCATCTTCACACAAAACTCCTTTTTAAATTACAGTTCTATATATAGAGATCTGACAGCCCTCAGCAGTTTGCTCCCTAAGGAAATTTAAATGTGTGCATTACTTTCCCCAACTCATCCAGCTATTCCATTCCATTTTAAAATGATCTTCTTATAAATATTTCTGAAAGTTTGTTTGTTTGTCCCGAAAGCTTTCTGAAACGGTAAGAGCTAGAAACACCAAATTTTGCATGGATATTACTGATTTCCTATCTTCAATAACTAGATTGGTTATATCTCTAAATCAATTCCCCTAGAGCCTCAATTGGCCCCATTGATAATTAGCTTTTAGTAGTGCCTGATCATAAGCATTTACTGGACTCTTCTGTTAAGCCTGTCACCTAAATGGCAACTATGAGATCCTAGAGGATAAAGCATGTGGGCACCTGCAGCATCATCAAGAGACAGCCGATGGGGGAGAGGCTGTAGTGGGGCAGAGAATCAGCAACCTCCCCTATACTAGGGCACTGGCAGGGCTCCAGGACAGACCCAAATGTGGCTGATGCTGGCTGGGGTTTAGTCTTACTAATTGTGGCTGGGAGAAGCCTCCAGCTATCACAGCCTCTCAACATCTTCATGCAGCCGGGCTCTGACTGAACCCCTTCTGGAAATTAAAGTTGCTTCCCTCCCCCCACACCCAAACGAGCCATCCCACCATTTGCCCTCCTTTGGGCTGTGTGTGTTCCCCGGGCAGGGCTGTGTGCATTATCAGCCAGTGCCACAGGCATTACGCACTTTGCAAGACTCAGCTCACAGTTCAAAGAGGAGGTAGTAGGAGGATAAGGTTTTGAGCACCGTGGAGCCTGAGGAGGACACGGTACATTCAGAACAGCCTATTCTCATTAGAACAGGTACGTTCAGGTGCTGCATGTCCTGATCATGTAGGTATCACTCATTGCACCTGGTCTGAAGGTCTTTCGCTTTGTCTGATCAATGCAACCAGTTCAGCTGCCGCTAGGAAGTCTATTCAAGTTGTCCCCTGGAGTGTGCACTGAAGGCACTCAGGGAGTAGCTACTTGGGGAGCAGTGATTTGCTGCTGCTGCAGAGCCCAGAAGACATCCCCTCCATTTCTCAGGGCTTCTGGCAAGGAGGCTGCAGGCCTTGGTTTGCATAGAGTCTTTAAGGGAAGATGGGCCTTCCTGATTTGTGGCCATTGAGAAAAGAGACCTATGGGATTTGTCATTTTGTAAGCATATCACTAGCTATGTTAATTCCTTAAAGTAATATATAAGAGAAAAGTATTTCCAATACAATATGCTATGTTAATGTAATTGACGTAGTTCTTTCATCATACCTTGTACTATATTTTCCCCAGGAGATGCCAGGTATTTCTGCTAGTTTAAAATAATACCGTCATTAAGCATAACTGTATTTCCTGTCTATTCTATTTTCTTTTCACTACTTTTTCCTTTGCACTGCCTTTTTATCTTGGCATACACTTTCTTCTTTATTCTGTTTTCACCCTAAACTTATTTTTAGGGTATAGTTTTTCCAGTTTCCCTTGTCTCCCTTAATTCATTCCTCCATCAATCACATACACACATTATTCGCTGCGCCATCAATTGAATTCTCCCTTTTATACCTTCCAAACACAAATACTAATTGTCCTCATCAGACATACAAGCCAGATCTAGGTTTACTTGGTCTTGCCTCCATGAGGTCCCTTCCAGCCTATGTTTCTATGATTCTAAGCTCATTCACCTCCTCCCCTCAACACAGGATGATTTCTTCTTATCTATCTTCATAAGGGAGGAAGATTTGGAGAAAAAAAATGGTTACTTACCTTGTAACTGTTGTTCTTCGAGACGTGTTGCTCATGTCCTTTCCAGTTAGGGTGAATGTGCGCTGCATGCACAGACTCTGGAGCTTGTTTTCCTTAGCAGTACCCGTTGGGCTAGACAGGGAGCTCCCTGGAGTGGCGCTAATATATTGGTGCATATATACCCCTGCTGGCCCTCCACCCCCTCAGTTCCTTCTTGCCCAAGTCCTCTGATGCAGAGGAAGCAGGTGGAATTTGGAATGGACATGAGCAACACATCTCGAAGAACAAGTTATGAGGTAAGTAACCATTTTTTCCTCTTCAAGTGTTTGCTCATGTCCATTCCAGTTAAGTGACTCCCTAGCAGTATCCAAGATGATGGGATCAGAAATTATTCTGCAATGGGACTGCAACACAGCCCTCCCAAAGGCTGCATCATCCCTGGCCTGCTGCACAATAGTGTAATGACTTGTAAACGTACAAACAGAGGACCACATGGCCACTTTGCAGATCTTGAGAATAGGAACTTGCACCATAAATGCCATTGATGAAGCCTGTGCCCTTGTGGAATGGGTCATAAGGGGAAGCGCGCTGTCCTGTTAGCAAGATCATAACAGGTTCTAGTGAAGGAAGTGATTCAAGAGGATAAACACTGTGCTGATAAAGATAAGCCCTTCATCCTCTCAGCTATGGAAATAAAGAGTTGTGAAGACCTACAAAACTCTCTTGTCCTTTATATGTAGAATGCTAAGGCCCTTCTGACGTCCAAAGAGTACAATGTTTGCTCTCTAGACGTAGACTGAGGTTTCAGGAAGAAACTGGCAATTGGATATCCTGTGAAAGTAGGAAACCACCTTTGGGAGGAATGTAGGGTTAGGAAGTACCCTGTCCCTAAAGAAAACAGTGTATGGGGGCTCTGACATGCAGACTCTCAACTCCGATAACCCTCCTAGCTGAAGTAATCACTAATAAGAAAGCCACCTTCCACGATAGGTGGTTTAAAGAACAGGTGGCCAAGGGCTCAAACAGGGGACTCAGAAGTCTTGTGAGGACTAAGTTAAGATCCCATGGAAGTACAGACTGGCTAGCACATGGGTACATACTGTCTATCTACTTAAGGAAGCACTTCACTATTACGTTTGCAAATACTGTCCTGACTCCTTCCCCTGAGTGAAACACCACAATGGCTGCCAGCTGAACCTGCAGGGACAAAGTGAAGAGGCCCTGCCACCTGAGGTAAACGAGATAGTCTAAAATGAGAGGGACTGGGGCCCTCATCAGGTCTATGCCTGACTGCGTGGTCCACAGGGAGAAGTGCCTCCACTTGGCTGCATATGCAGCCCAGGTAAAGGGCTTCCTGCTCTCCAAGAGGACCTTCCTCATGGCCACCGAGCACAAAGCTACTCAGGCCCAGTCAACCATGAAGGTTCTAAGCCGTGAGGTGGAGGGATGAAAGGTTCGGGTGGCCCCCTTCCCCAGATCCTGAGTGATCATATCTGGAACTACTGGAAGTGCCATCAGTTCTTCCACTGATAGATATAGGAGAGTGGTGAAACAGTGCTGGCAGGGCAACGCCAGCGCTACCATGATGATCGAAGCCCTGAACCTCCTGATCTTGAGAAGGACCTTGTGGATCAGTGGAAATGGAGGGAAAGCTTATAGGAACTTCTGGGGCCACTGCATCTGAAGAGTGTCCCCTTGGAATCCCACCTCCTGACCTAGGTCCGAACAGTAATTCTGGCACTTGCTGTTTTCCCAGGTGGCGAACAGGTCCAGATGGGGATAACCCCACTTCTGGAAGACCTCTGACAGAATGCCCAGTCTGATGGAGCATTTGTGGGCCCTGAAGGACCTGCTGAATCTGTCTGCTAAGACATTCCGGTCCCGGGAAGGTAAGCCGCCTTGAGGTGAATTCCCTGGACAATGCACAGGTTCCACAGATGGGCTTCTTTGCACAGGGGAGAGGAGCGAGCTCCACCCTGTTTGTTGATATAATACATGGACTGTTAACACCGAGACCACCCTGTGTTACAATTGCGGAAGGAACGCTTGACACGCTACCCTGACCACCCTAAGCTCCTTGACATTTATGTGCAGGGGACTCTTCCTAGGGGACCACATACCTTGACTCCTGAGATTTGACAGATGGGCCCCCCAGCCAGCGTCTGATAAGTCCATGACCAGTTACACTGATGGGCTCGCTGGACAAATGGGACCCCCTTGCAGACTGTCCACTCCTCCAGCCTCCAGTCCAACAAAGAATGTCCACTGGAACCATGACCACTGCATCCATCAGGACATGCGCCAGGTTGTGTACTCTCAACAACCATCTCTGTAGAGGCCGAAGCCTCAGTTTGGCACAGTGGTACCACACAGGTACAGGCCGCCATGTGCCCCAGCAACTTCATACATGTTCTTGCTGTCATAAGGGGTGACATTTGGAGGCCTTTGATTATAGCATGCATGGTCATGAATCTGGCTGTTGGGTGAGACGCCTTTGCCACAGTGGAATCCAAGTGGACCTATACAAAGTCTATTATCTATGTGGGGTTGAGTGTGGATTTCTCCTCGTTTATGAGGAGGTCCAGCCTGCGAAACAAAGCCCTGGTTAAGGCTATGTATACTTGCTCCCTGGACAAGCCCCTTATCAACCAATCATCCAGGCAGGGGAATACCTGAACCTTGTGTCTCCTTAAAAAGGCTGCCAGTGCTGCCATACATTTGTTGAAAACTTTTAGTACCATCAAGAGACCAAACAGTAGGACCACTAACTGTACTAATGTGAACCTCAGGAACCTCCTGTGTGCTGGTATCACTGAGATGTAGACATACGTGTCCTTCAGATTGAGGGCAGCATAGCAGTCTTCTTTTGTATAGAAGAGATAATGGATGCTAGGGTAACCATCCTGAACTTTACCTTCTTTATGAATGAATTCAGGTCTGTTAAGTTCAAGATGGGATTTAGTCCTCATTTGGACTTTGGGATTAGGAAATGCCGAGAAAAGAACCCTTTCTCCTTTAACTCCTCTGGAAAAGGTTCGACTGCTCCCCACTGCAGTAGCAAAGACACTTTTTGCCTTAACAGATGCTCATGAGAGGGGTCCCTGAAGAGGGACAGGGAAGGGGAGTGGGGCAGTGAAAGGAAAGGGATGGCATATCCACCTTCTACCAAGTGCAGAACCCACTGGTCCAAAGTAAGGTACCAGGCCTGGCAGACCCCACTCCCACTCTGCACACTGTGGACACCAGGACTCACCAGGACCTTCTCCGAAGGCTGGCTGCCAACTTGGGGGTGCAGGCTAAAGCTCAACCTGATAGAGTGAGCTTCAGTGCGGGAAACACCTGTGGCACCGATGCTGCAGACCAAAGCACCCGCAAAGTTTCTGACCAAAGTAAGCTAAGTCCCAGGAAGCCATTCAGCACATACTGTGAACATTTACACTAGAAGTGATGGGTAAGGAACTGCAAATACCCAGGGGTGAAGTCTGGTGCACAGTGGTAGAACAGGAGGAAAATGAAAGTGGAGGACAATATCTGAGGGGTAAAAACAACTCTGAACAATAGAGAGAGGTTTTATTTTTGTTGACTGGTTCATTTGTTTTTCTGCTGCTTTCTCCATCTATACATACCCTCAACCCTGTTATACATTAGATCTCTCCTGTACACAGTGCATGTAGGACAGGATCTGTATAATGCCTCTCCCTTTGCTGTTTATATTAATTTACATAAAATATGGATATACCAACAAAAAATATTCTTTCAACACATGAACTAAGCAGAATGACAGGGAGAAGGGGGAGATGTGTGTGCAGAATGGGCATAGATGCTAACACAAATTCACAGCCTCCTCCAGTCTCTCCAGTAGTGACCCTGTGGGAAGGGAGGGGTGAGACATGGGATGGCAGGTTCTCCTGTGACTCTGGCTCCCAGCGCTCCATGAACCAAACTCCCTGCTTCCCAGAATCCCAGGATGCCATCTCTTCACACTGCCTCTTCCATCTCTTCCAGTTATGGGCTCAATCTGGAAGGGGAGATGGTGGCTCAGTGAATATGTGGCAGGTGACCTGAGCCCACTTGTTTGGAAATTTCTGGTTGCACCCTAGACTAAATGGTTCCTCTTTATTCCAAAAATACAGGAAAATCTTGAAAAAAACCAAAACCCATACCTCCACAGATGTCTTCCACAATAAATGGATCTTCTTTGATGTTTTCCAATCAAGAGGAACTATGAAATCATTTGGCAATAAAGACTCTGAAAAAGATGACAACATTTTCATAGCTAACTATTAATACTTTCTAACATAAAACAGTGAACCATCAGAACATTATAATGGCATTATAATTTGTCAGGTTTTATGCATATATGAAGGAGATACTTCCAGTTCAAATTTTAGGTTTTATATAAATAAGCTTCTACAGAACCTGAGACTAATAAACAAAAATATATAAATGTTTCTAATGTCAATGTAAAGATATTTTTAAACCAAACATTTTCCCACAGTATTTCCACCCCAAAATTGTAGCTTTTTCCAAGCGCATGGGAACTGCAAAGTGAAATTTACTAGGGAAATCTTTAAAAATAAAAGTGAAGCTTCATACTCTGCATTTTATTGAATTTAGAGAAAGCAAACATCTTAAATGGAAAGTAAATTTAGATTTTAACGTTTTATCAGTTTCAATTATTTATAAGAGGATATTTTAACACAATGTATGGATATTCTTCTGTAAATACGTCAAATATTTAACCTGATAGAGGTTAACCTCAATGATTAAGTTGAAAACAAATATTTTGAGTATAAAGTTTATGGAATATATCTTCCATTATATCTGTAAATTGTAGATAAATGACAAATACATTTGATAATTAAAAAGCTATTTACCTTCCAACAGAACAACTAACAACATTTATATAGTACTTTTCATTTAGGAATATTCCTAAATGCTTTATGGAAACATTCACCCACAAATGCACTGTAATGGCCTTAACAGTACACAGCAGTTCTTAACAGATTAAGACAGGCAAGGAAAGAAAGGAAAGAAAAGTATGTATGATTTAAACTCCAGCAGACATTTAAAAAGGACTAATATTGAAATGCAAATCAGAATATGTCCAGGAACATAGAAAGAACACCTATAATTCTGAGAAAAATATTGTTGATTGTTTAATTATCACAAATAGCCAGTTCCTCAGAATATAACTACACTATAGCTTAAGTAGACGTAAGTTATGCCATTCACAGGTGTGAATTCACTCCCTCCTCAACAACATAATTTATGCTGACTTAAGCACTGGTGTGGACAGCACTATGTCAGCAGAAAAGCGTCTCCTGCCTACATAGCTACTGCCACTCATGGGGCGGAGGTACCAGAATAGGAGGACAGGGGGCCATGGCCCTCCCTCTTTTGAAAGGGCACAGGCCTGACCCACCCATATTTTGCTACATACTCTGCACTTGCCCATCTTCTCCCCTTGCCACCCTCCAGCTAGGCTGACAACTGGACTACAGCTGGGGATCCTGAGCAACATGGAACACTGTGTCATAGACTCTCCATCTACCCTAGGACTAAGGGCAGACCCTAGCATGTGTGCTTGCCCTCCAGTTCTTCCATCAGGGCAGATGGAAGGTGCATAGCTCTTAGTATGGCTAAAGTGCCGCTCTGAGGCCCCATCTCCTGGTTGGAGCCAGGTCAGGATAAGAACTGAGTGGGCAACAGGGGGAAGACTTGCAGGTCAGTGACACAATTCAGGAACTGCAGGCAGATGGAGCATCTAGCTACTGGCCAGCTCTTGCTTCCAGCTTCGCTGAGGGTGGGACTTCGGTGCAGGGCAGGGGGCTCTGGCCTTCCCTCACATACTTTTCTGAAGGCTCCACCACCCCATCATGGGGACTGGGAGTAATTATGCTGACCTACAAATTCTCCCCCATTGGATTAAATTAGCTACATGGCGAATTTACAGCAGAACAGCTGCATCAGTGCAGTTGTTAATATTTTCATTAAGACAGGTCACACTTAGGCTACGTCTATACTGCACCCATTTTCCGCAAAACCTAATGCAAATGAAGCATGGAGTAGAATATCGCTGCACTTCATTTGCATAATTAAATAGAGGCCATTTTTGCACAAGAGGCTTTTGTGCAAAAAGGAGCTGTGTAGATGGCTCCTTTTTGTGCAAAAGCCTCTTGCGCAAAAACGGCCCCTAATTAATTATGCAAATGAAGTGCAGTGATATTCTACTCCATGCTTCATTTGCATAAGCTTTTGTGGAAAAAGGGTGCAGTATAGACGTAGCCGTAGAGTGTTAGGAGGTCCATAAGCACCTTGCTAAACAAGGACCAAAGCTAAGATTCATAGAACCATGCAAACCTGTGGATTTCTGTTTTATGTCCACAGAACATTTTTGCTGACTGTGAATTGAATGAGAATACAAACATTGTATGTGCGGAGGCCACTAAAGATTTATGCACACTCCAATACATACACGTGCATAATCCCACTGTAAAATCAACCACATGCATAAGTCTGAAGAATCAGAGCTTAAGCAGCTCAATCTTTTTTGATCTTTCTAAAAGGGTTTATAATATACTAGAAGATCTACCTGTCATTGCTCAGGTCCTCAAATCAATTAATTTTGGGGGGTTTTTTTTGGAAAATAAAATGAAAATGTACATGCTTCATTTAAATCATTCCTCATCTTAGGGTCAGGTGAGAAACACCTGTCCATGGCTGCTGCAGCTCTAGTGGGCACAGCCAAGGAAGGAGTGCGTGTCCCCCTGCTGGCGCAGGTCCAGGGTCGTCTGCTCCCTGCAGTCCCCAGTCAGAGTGAGGAATGCAGCAAACTGTGCACTTTCCCCTTGCTCCCTGACAAAGGGGAACAACCAGCAATGTTCTCCTATGAATGGGGGGGGGGGGGGGATAGCTACCCCCCCCCCCCCCCATACCCTTCCTAAAGAGCATCCGAGGGATGGGAGACTTGGAGCTAAGGCAGTCCTGGAAGAAGGGGGTGCATCTTTAGTCATTCCATTTCTCCTGCCTGATGACTGTCTCTTTACTGTATGGTTTTATGAGAAGCAATCCCATTCCAGACACATCCATTTTCCTGGCACAGCCAAACACTTACTTTGCTTTAAGATATGATAAGAGGAAACTGTATGCCGAATTTGGGGGTCCTAGCTCTTACTGTTTAGAAGGAGTTCTTGAACAGATGGACAAACTCTCTCAAATATATAGCAGATACATTAAGTGACACGAGAATATGAAAATTCAAGCTCTGTTTGTTCATTTACCTTCTAACTATGACAGTCAAAGATATGGATAGCATGATTAAAAGAATATGTTTGATATGAGAAGATATACCTTATTGTTCAGAATTTCAAATTAAATTTGATTAGGGGTAAAATTTTCATGCTACTTTTTAAGTGATTTAAGAGAGTATGTCTAATTGAAAGTCAGTGAGATGTAGCCTCAAAACGCCTATGACACATTTGACCATAGGTGCCAAATGTAGTTGCTTTTGAAAATTTTACCTTATAACTTTTAATTATTATTTAAGGGATACCACTGTATTGCAAAGGGGAAAAATATTTGCCAGTAAAGAAATACAAATCCACAACACACATATTTTCATGCAGTTTCCTTAAATGACAGGTTTAAAATTCACTCAGCATAAGGTATCTGCGCAGCTGAAATTGCAACACAGCTACAAGGACATCCTTGGATTTAAAATTAATACATGCTTAGTGTTACTCATGCAACAAGGGTAAACTGCTAACAATAGAAAACAACGATCACTGCATAACAGATAATCTGCAGCTGAAAAGCGCAATCTTTGTGCAAAGTACCATTTACAAGATACTAAGTGAATGCCATCAAAAGTATCTATATTGGCATGCAGTGTATTATCACAGTATATTATCACATTTGTGTCGCTGCTAGCTGCAATATGAAAAAGAGCCATTAAGCACTATTATAAATAAATAATAATACTAAATAATAAAAAAATAATAATATTACCCAGTGGAAATCCAGGAGAGCCAAAAAGCTCTACAAGTTGAAATGCAAATCCCAATGATAAGGGAAGACCCAGAAAATTGGATTTAGTATTTAAAGGATCTTCATTGTCTTCAATTTGTGAGGATTGTGATGACTCACTTTCATCTGCTTTGTGCATATTTTCACCATAGCTTTCAAATTCATTAAAGTCTGTAGGACATTCAGATGTTACTTTAACAGAACACAAAATATCTGGTTGACTATTTGCAAGGTCTGAAGAGAACTGTTCTCTCTCACCCTTTTTTTTATCATGTATTTTTTCTTGTTTAGAAGTTATAATTTGTTCCTTACTTGTTGAAGAAACTTTACAAAAATTAGAGGGAAACTTCTGAGCTGGAGAAGAAACAGCTTTCTTTGAAAGACACAAAGAAGAATCTGTCATACCATTATTACAAGGTGCCCAATGTTCTTGAAATTCAAGGTTTTGCTCATTCTTCTTTCTATTATCATTATTTGAAATTCTCTCTTGTTCTGTTTCAAAAACATTTTCTGATAGGTGATTGTCCATTAATAGAACATCCTTCCTTTTCTCCTTTGTACTAATTGCAATCTGCCTTGGTATATGAAAGTTTGGTGCCAAGTTGAAAATCCTTTTGCATCTTCCTTTTTTCTTTGATGGAACTGATGTATCTACATTGTTTGGAACATTTACTTCAGTTAAGCAGTTTGAGACAGTAACACCTGACTCTATAAATGAAATATTATGTCCTTTGTCAATCAATAACGACTGTAGATCACCATGTGTTACACTGCCACTCTCTTCATTTAATGTTTGTAGATTGGGTTCTTTTTCTAATTCTTCATTAGATTCATGAATTTGTTCTATTGTGCTGTCAGGATAAGTCTGTTTGGGCCTCCTCACTCTTTTTGGTCTTTGCTCACATATGAACTTATGGGCACCCTCAGGCCAAGAACAAGAACCAAGCCTATCAGAGCCAAGCTGCAGTTGTATATCAGTTAAATCAATTGAAAAAAAGGCCCAAGGATTTTTCTCATTCATTTTTGATGTCAGTGTTTCTTCTTTGGTTTTATCAGTGACGACAACACAATTTTCAGATGTTTTAAAATCATGCTGGAGAGCCAGGGTTTCTTTTTTTCTATTACTTACATTTAACAATTTATTCTCTAGGACAGGTTCGCATGTAATTTGATCAGCTGTAAGTTCATTCTGATTGTTTAACATCACACCACTATTTTCTATACCGTTGCATTCTGTCTTTACAACAGAAAAATCAACATTTGTATCTACGGAATTGCTCTCATTTTCCATAAGGTTTTTATTTTGGTTATGATCACCCACCTGATTATCAAGTGTGTGTTTAATTAAGTTTTTATTAGGAGCAGATGTCATATTTATTAGAAATGGACCACCATCTTCTGCAAGCAAGTCACTTTTCATTGGACTAGCTAATGCCACTGTCGTCAAAGACACAGTAATAGGTAAACTTTCTGTTTGATGCTTTGTAGACTTTAGGCTTTCATTAGTGTCACCATTGGAATAATCATCACAACCTTTCACCAGATCTCCCACATCTCCATTAAATGTAAATACTGATGTTCTGCTTTCTTCTTCTGAATCTTCCTCTTCACTCTCTGATGTTTCCTGATCATCTGCAATTAGATGACAAGGGGCTCTATCTGATTTTTTCTGTGTGATTTTAACATGATCGTGCTTCATTTTTCTGTTTCTTTTTCGCTTTTTCTTCTGTTTAGCTTTGCTCAGTCTGTGCCCAGGTTTCTTCTTAATGTCTGTTCCCCTAAATGTAGAATAAAAAACTAAATATGAAAGAAAACCCATAGCAGAAATAACCTACTCATGATATGCAGCTTTAGGAAAAATATTATTTAACTATTTGATAATCAAATTTTTATCTCTTCACTACTGATTTGTTTTATCCTGATAACTCTTCATTTAAAAAGTACAATTTCATAAGATTTAAAATACATGATTTAAATATATCTTACCATTCACAAAGCATCTTAACCCTGTTTAATATACACACAGCGAATTTTAGTTTGAATCTCATTACAAGAGCTTTCAACTTAAAACAAACAAGGAGATAAAGCAGCATTTTCAGGTGTCTTTCAAAATTATAATAGATTGATCCCCACTAGTCATTCAGTAACTAGAGTTTGTCCATGTTCTGAAACTGTGTGAAGTGCCATGTTGTGCAGTGTTCAGAATGGTGGGAAAATGAGTGGAGAGTAACAATCCGTTTTCCCTCTCTTAGTATATTCTCATATCAGAGTGTTCTTCTATTGGACAAAATAGATTAGATGGACTCAATTTAGAAGATACTAACAACAAAAAAGTCCTGACTGACATACAAATTTAATAGTTATTACCATTCCCTCAGTCCTACTGCTCAAGTAACATGTTCAGCATGTGTACACCTACAGGTTATCAGGTGAGTATAGTACCTCTACTTACTTAGGAACAAAGTAGTACCTCATGTCAGAAGGGAAGGCATATTTAGGCCTCCCAGAAGCCTGGTGTGGATTTTATGAGTCTGTTCTGATAACACGCAATAGTGTAACCATAAGTGGAACAGTGCATGTGTAAGAAATCGAAGAATAATTATGTTTAGTACTGCACATGTGTAAGAATTTAAATAGTAATTATGTTTGCAAGAACTAGAAAAGATAAAGTAACTAAAGCTAGAAAAGACCAGTTAGAATACTAAACCTGTACTGATGAGGAAGGAGAGTTAACATGGAAATGAGAGTGATATATATGTATAAAAATAACAAAAATCATAAATAAGTTTGTGTAACAAAGGACAGTTGAAGCTGAACAGTCTGGTGCTGAAGGTGATTGTGATGGAATTGTTCTAAGGAGCTTCCCACTTGTAAGTAACTGATCACTACTTGCTAAGTGTTTTGCCTTAATAAATATTTGTTAGACCCATCTGTTGAATAAGTGAACTTCGGTCCAACAACCTAAGTCTACTTATTAAGCCCTATATAAAGAAAATAAAAATAACTAGGGAAACTTATTATAGGAATTTCATATACTCTATATACAGTTTTCTTAATTGAGCAAAACAATTAAAAGAAGGTAATTCCAAATGAACTTATCTAAGAGAAAGGTGATCTATATAGGTAAAATAGGTTTCTTTTTGTACTGTCACATACACCAGAACACAGTGATACGAGTTGAGATGTAATACATTAGAAATTAAAAATAAGGAAAAAGTTGATACCACCAGTAGAGAACCACATCCATAACTCAAGGACACATCTATAGAGCTTGTAATATATGTTACTGTAAATGACTACAAGAATGACTATCAGCTTACAAATGTCATTTTCCATTTCCTTACTGGAAAAATTATTACTTATCTTGCGCAGTAACTAGAATTCTTCAAGATGTTTGGTCCCTATGTATATTTCATTTGAGATGTGCATGTATTCCATGTGTCTGAGACCAGAATATTTTTGCTAATGGTGTCATTTGGTCCACTCCTGCACCATTCTCCTGCTTGAGTTCTGAATTGAGGGCCTCAGTGGCAGTGTGCACTGACCCCTTCTCCAGTTCTTTCTCTATAATGAAAGGATCCACAGCAGACAGGAAGGAGAGTGATAGTAATATATATATATGGACTACACATCTCAAAGAACTCCAGTAACTGCACAAGATAAGTAACCATACTTTTTTCTTTGAGTGACAGTCCCTAAATGTATTACACTTGAGGTGACTTACAAATAGCATTCATTGAGAAAGGGTATGTGAAAAACCTTGTTGTACCACAGATTGGAATAATTTTACAGGAGTAGTCAATTATGTTTTGTCAAGATCCACATTTCTTCATCAAGGTATAGTCAAGGTCCAGACTCCAGAGAAAATAAAACAATATCAATAATAACAAGTAAATACAATTATTTTAGGGTCCACTCAAGAGCATCTGGCAGTCCAGATTTGACCCACAGCCTACCTATTGACTATCCCCAAAACCGTTTATCAGGGTATAATGTCTCACATAGGTGTGCACAGAGTCCCACATTATTGCTTTACAGATTTCCACAAGAGACACACCTCAAAGTTAAACTTCTGAATAGCTTGGGTTCTGGAAACCTTTTCTCTGTGGAAGATTATAGAGGTCAAGTTCATCATAAGGACCCCCTGCTCACCTACTCTTCTGGCTGAGGAACTGCATCTAGAAAGATTTAATCTAACTTTCATATTTAGATAAAAGGAGGAATATGGGGCTAATGGTTCCAATGGAACATTTGTGTATTCTGAGAGGGTTACACTGAGATACCACACTGGAGTAGGTTTCAGTACCAGAAGATCTGACCGGTCCTTTCAGAATCTATCCACTGGAGGGTGAAAGTCACAAGGTGCTCCCAAGTGCATTTGCAAGCAGATGATAGATATTCTCAGTGTTTTTAGAGCAAGGAAGTAGTCCGGATTAGTAGCAATTTTAGCATTCTCTGACTGTTTATAATTATTCTGGGACCAGACAGAAAATCTTTTTCACTTAACTCTATAGCATTTTCTCATGGAGTCTTTTCTGCTAGAACTAAGAATGGATTGTATTATTTTTTAGCATGATCATTCTAAATTTGTCATCCATCATAACAGCAGCTTGTTAGATGGAGAGGTGCTGACTTGGGATGGAAAAATCTTTCTTTTGCCCTGGGTCAAAAGGTCTGGGAAAAGCTGAATGCAGAGGCACAGGTATGAAGCCACCAGGAGAAGGCTAGTGAACAAAAATTGTCTCGACCACCGAGAAAAAACTAAGATCACCAATGCTGTATGATTTTACTCAGGACTCAATGTAAGAGAGGAATGAGTCAGAATGCCTACATCTGTGTTTTTGCTCATTTTATGAGAAACACATCCCCTCTAGAGCTGTAGCCCTTAGAAATTCTGGAGCAGTATACCAGGCTTTTCTTCTTCTCTTGGGATGCAAAGAGATCTCATAATAGAAATCTGTATCATTAAGTGTGTAGGACTTCTGTATGTGTGGATGTGGCAAGAGGACACTAAACTGCATTCTTTGTTGTTTTCTAGGAGGCTTGTAAGCCCTTTGAGGGTAGAATGGTTGAGACACTGTTATTGCTTGTATGACAGAGGCTTAGGATATTTCCTCCTTGGCGCTGTAATGCAGATACTAAGAGAGCAAAGAGATGCTCTTGGGTCTTTGAGGATATGTAATAATTCATCTGTTTTTTCACTGAATAGATTATTTCCCTGGAAAGGCAGATCCTCTGTAGTTGACTGAACTTCTTTTGAAAATCTAGAGGATTGGTGTCACTACGGATATTGCCATCAAATGGTAGGCCGTGCCTGCTGTATCCACCAAATCTGCAGGACCAGTCTAGCTAGCAATTTACATTCATCAATGACTTCTTGGAACTGAAGCTTATCCTTTTTTAGTGAATTCAGAGAGCTTCTTGTAATCAATAAAATCAGACTTAGACATCAGTGCTCAGTAGTTCACAACATTCTTCCAAAGAAGTTTGGTTTCCTTTTCTGTGGGTGTAGCTTCTGGCTGGTATTCATAGAATCATAGAATCATAGGACTGGAAGGGACCTCAAGAGGTCATCGAGTCCAGCCCCCCACCCTCAAGGCAGGAACAAGCTCCGTCTACACCATCCCTGACAGATGTCTATCTAACCTGTTCTTAAATATCTCCAGAGAAATATCTCCACCACCTCCCTTGGCAATTTATTCCATTATTTGACCACCCTGACAGTTAGGAATTTTTTCCTAATGTCCAATCTAAACCTCCCTTGCTGCACTTTAAGCCCATTACTCCTTGTCCTGTCCTCAGAAACCAAGAGGAACAAATTTTCTCCTTCCTCCTTGTGACACCCTTTTAGATATTTGAAAACCGCTATCATGTCCCCCCTTAATCTTCTTTTTTCCAAACTAAACAAGCCCAGTTCATGAAGCCTGGCTTCATAGGTCATGTTTGTTCTTTCTAGTGACTGCTTGTGCCATTGAAGAGTTGGAGCACAGTGTTAAAGTAAGTTATCTCCCCCCTTTAATGATACAACTACTTTTCCATTCTTTGGGAGTGGGAGTGCAAGTGGCTCAAATATGCCAGATGTTGGCCAATTCTAACATAGTCTCATTAACAGGCAATGCCACTATCCTAGAAGTATAGCTTTGGAGGATATGTCATCTTACAAGGGGTGTCATACTTCCTCCAGCAGGATCTGGTATGTGTTTGCAATTCTCTTCAGGAGGTCCAGAAATTGCCTGTAATTACCAGACTGTGGTTCCACCAGTTTGCTTTTCTTCCTCAGAATGTCCCTGAGCAGGTTAAGACTCTTCCCCCAGACAGAGAAGCCTGTCTCAACTCCCCTTGAAACCTCACATATTTGGGATGCCTCATAAATGGATTCCAAGGACCCCAATAAGGCCAGTGTGAGGGATCATCGGTAAGGATATGAGTTATTTAGGTAAGTCATGGATTCCATGACTTCTTTGACTTCAGCCAATGGTGAAGGCTGGAATTGTCAGTTTCCTGCAGCCACCTAGCTGGTGTGGCTTAGGCTTTATGACAGTCATCTCCCACCCAGTTAATTTTAACACAAGACACCAAAAGGTGCTGGGCTTCTGTGAATTTTTGTTTATTGCCTGCACCCTTTCCTTGACTTTATCCAAAAATAACCATGACAAAATCTTAATTATACAGGTAACAGGTGTTCCCCATGGAGGATGACACCTCTTGTCCTAAACTGGATATTCCTTCCTGTGAGATTAGGAAACTGTCCTGGAGATCTTGGAGCCTGTATCAGGAC